TAGAAAAATACACATTGTATATTATGACCACTAACATGCTATGTTAAAACCTTTTGCTTCTTGGCCTCCAGTAAAATAAGTTCAGTGTTCTAATGTTCAATCCCTGTGTAAAGTAGTCCATCACAAAACCATCACCCTCACTTTGGCACAATTGGCAGTCATTATTCACATAAAACAGAAAAATAAGTTACCATGGAGACAAAGCCAATTCTGCTCTCCAGAATGGCTGATTCTTCCTAGTCGGAAGAGAATTTTACCAGAAAAAAATCACATAAAGTACTCATAGAAACTGGCAGTCCAAAATCTGTAGTCAGTAACTGTATAGATAGCCATGTATAGATAATCATTCAATAGATACAATAACAAATATTGCACTAAAAGATAATCCTATGTAATCACTGTTTACAAAATAAAACCCAATGTCCTTCTAAACAGTGTAGAAAGTTTAAATTATCATATGTTTTCTGCCTCTACTTAGTGCTTTATTAATGGGGTGACCACACTGTTTGACCTATTTGCTAAAATTTGCTAGACCTCCAGGAGAACATATGGACATCCAGATGGGTTGCTGTAATTTAATGCCATTATTCTAAAGATGAAGTAAGATATAAACATAATTTGCATTCTTTTCCATCCTTCCTGCATACCTTTTATTAGTTTCATTTTTAATTCAGACATCAGAAGGGAAGATAATACCTTGCTACCAAAGCCCAGATGCCAACTAATTACTACAAGAGACTCCAGTCCTGACATCACAGGCCAGGCCTCTGAACACACTCTGTCTTACTCAGTGACCCCACAGTAGTGATTAATAGGTTGAATGCTAAGCCCTAATGAGTGTGTCAGATCTTAGGTGTTCTCTAGGCTAATGCAATTAGCACTGCGTTGAACAGAATATTTCAGCTACTTGCTAGAGAGACTCATTATACTTCACAGTAAACTATGTCTTTTCACCTTATGGTCTTTAAATTTATTATATAATCATCAGTCTAATAGGCTTCTATAAATAGTGATATTTCGCATACTAGAAGAAAATTTAAGTATTTTTAAATCAAATACTGATTTTCTTCTACAAGCGTGAACGCCTACGTTGTATATAAAGTGATGTTGTTTTCAGAGACACTTGTTAAAATTCAAGTTTCTGAACTCCTAACAACAGAAATCCTTATAAAAGGGGATTTAGGATAAGGCCTAGGACTGCATTTTTAACAAGATTCATGATTCAAAAGCAAAGCATTCTGTAGACCACACTTGAAGAAAAACTGCAATGTAACAGGACTGATACCTGTGTCTTAGATTAACTGGCTATATTAGACTTTTTGCTCTAAATAGTTAATATGTTTCTCAAAAAATTATCTGCATATACATTAAGAAAATTGTTTTCATATCAGATAATAATTTTAAATGTGCCAATAATTTTTTGGTAAAAAGATTAGAAACTAATTATCAGGATAAGACACAGATGTTATTTCCAAGAAACTGTGTAAACTTATAAGATCTAGATTCAACAGTGGACATGGCAAGTAAAAGCATTTTATACACTAGACAATGGGCCTAGAATTGTGTTTCCAGTTTTAAAAGAAGGACCAAAGGTGAGCAGAATTTCTGCAATTCCTGACTTTTCTCCATGGCCAGAGATAAAATATGTTTACATGTTTTAGCCTTGATAACAGAGGACTTTAGGCAATATTCCAAGTACTTACTTGTATCTCACCTAGATATAACCATCATCAATTACTACATACTAAGAATTTGTATGTATCTAGAATTGCTTTCACAAAACAAGCATACATAAAATCCCTGTTCATATTTAACTTAGACATACTTTATTTATCTATTACCCTAAAAATTTTAAGGCAGCTTTTTCCAAATTTATAACTGTTTTAACAAACTACCATTTTCTTCATGAATTTCAAAAGAGTTCTTTTGTGCTTTTAAAAATTTATACCATATATTAAAATAGAAAAAGAATGAATAAAATTAAAATATTTATTTGTAGTAAGTATAGTATAGTTATTTACTTATCATGAGTTTCATATTGAGATTTAGTGGTTTGAGAAAGTTAATTATGCCGTTGTTTATTCTAATGTTCCTTTTGGATCCAGCCAGAGGGTGGAGTGCTGTCCTATGACCATGGCAAGTCTATAAACACATGCTTTTTTTTCTATGGCGAATGTTGAGATATTAAGCTCTGTCTAGGACTGGCTGGATGTTATGTATTTCTGTTTTTTTTCCTTTAGGAAGGCTGCGTTTCCCAGCATCCATGGCCCCTGACTCTCGGTAGGGTAGTATAAAAGTTCAGATAGGGCCAGGCGCGGTGGCTCAAGCCTGTAATCACAGCACTTTGGGAGGCCGAGGCGGGTGAATCACAAGGTCAAGAGACCGAGACCATCCTGGTCAACATGGTGAAACCCCGTCTCTACTAAAAATACAAAAATTAGCTGGGCGTGGTGGCGCATGCCTGTCATCCCAGCTACTCAGGAGGCTGGGGCAGGAGAATTGCCTGAACCCAGGAGGCGGAGGTTGCAGTGAGCCGAGATAGCGCCATTGCACTCCAGCCTGGGTAACAAGAGCGAAACTTCGTCTCAAAAAAAAAAAAAAAAAAAAAAAAAGAGTTCTGATCAATGGAATATATACAGAAATAACGTTTATTCCTTCCAGACCTACCATCTAAAATATTCCATATGATCTTACATGTTGTCTGCCTTCAATCTTTGTCTAGCAGATGGAGCAGATTTAGGGAACAGTATACAAAGCCTTAAGTGATGAAATAACCACCTGTTGAAATATTGCTTCAGCAAGAAATAACATGCATTGTTTTACAGCATGTAAGATCATATGGAATAAGTCGTCGAGACGCCGAGGTCTGAAAACGAATAGGGAAAGTAAATTAAGATCTGACTTAACTAAAGCACTATGTAAATTTTTTTCCTACTGATGATTATCAACTCTCTGCTCAATAAGAAATTATGACTATATAAGACCTGAAGACAAAATTCACTGGACCTATATTAATTCACTAGAAAAGACTGAATTGTATTTAAGAAACAAACAAACAAAAAAAAACCCCTACATGTCTTAACATTAGCTACCTTTTGGAGCTCAAGTTAAGATGACTATATGCTGCTCTAGCGAAGCATTATTAAACAAGACCTGACCCACAGCATAGAGGAATATCTACTCTACAATACCTACAGTTTCTACAGTCATAAGAAAGAACATTCTTACAATCTATAAAGCAACTGTCCAAAGGAGATTCACTGAATGTATGCTAGAAGTAGAATTTTTAATTGACATGCCCAAATAGCATTTAAAGTACACTTTTTGAAACTGGAAAAAAATGCACGTTTAACCTAACCAAATGGATACGGGAAACATATGCTGTATTAATACAAAATCACTATATACAAAAAGTAGAAAACACATTCCAACACTCACATAAACACACACACACACACACACACACACATACAGACAGAATTATTTCAGGATCAAAAGTTTACCTTTGTAGTACAACAAAAAGTTAATGTTCTAAAGAATAATTATGTCACTGAATAAATGATGTTGGTGGAGATGGTACACAAACCACTGAACTGAAGTGGAAACAATAAATCAGGTTTATTAGAAGGCCTGGGCTAAACCTGGCTCTGTCATTCTTTAGATGTAAAGAGAAACATATGAGAAAGTCAGAGACCATAGGTATTAAATACTTGGAGCTGCAGTCTCTATTTGCCACTAACGAGCTGTTTGACTTGGGAGAGCTATTTTATCTATTTCCTCAGCTATGGAATAAAGAGAAGATAATACATATTTCACGGATCATTAAGAGGATTAAGTCATATCACACATATTAAGTACTTAGGCCTTGGGTGAAAGTAAATATTAACAAATACTGGATATTATGCTAATATTATATCTCCATAACTAAGAGCCATATTATCCTTACTTGAAAAATAATAAATTGCAGAAGCTAATTGATATACTTTCTTTAAATTACTACAGTGTGAGTCTATATCTATCCTTTAAAGTCAAATATCCACTTGAAAAATAAAAACTCTAAAAACATATATTTTAAGTAATGACTTTCAAAAAAATTCTGTAAGATGGTCTGGTCTGCTACTGGGATTGATTTAAAGAAAATAGGTGACATAATCAGGCACTAGTAATTACAATTTTTTTAACATTTAGAAGTGGAATGGTACTTTGATTTATGTATTATCCTTCATGACTCATACCCTAATTTGAACATAGAATGTAAGAAGATAATTGTCAGGCAACCATTTAAATTAAAAATATGTCATATTTAATGAGTCTTATTGAGATAAATATTTCAATCACACAAATTTGAATGGGTTTAGAATGTACATGTTAACTCTTCATTTTGCAGCTTAAAGTGATGTACTTTCTGTGCTTCTAAACTGTAAGCAACTTAAATTTCCTTCTCATTCAGACGAAAGCATTTCTGCCAGTTAGCAACAATGAAAAATGACACGAGCACTATAATGAGGACTTCATTTTAAACTAAATGAGGTAGCTTCACTTGGAAATTCCATAATTTAGTAAATCTTGCTTTGTGCTTACAAATGCTTATTCAAACAAATCCTCTATTAAGACTCAATTATAAGCGAAGAGCTCAAGATGTTGAATCATTAAAATCATTGAAAGTTCAGTTCTAATTATACTTTTGATTATTTTTCAAATAAGTAAAAAAATTCTGTTTATTTGACATCACCTTTTTCTTTTATTTATTTATTTATTGCATTTTAGGTTTTGGGGTACATGTGCAGAACATGCAAGATAGTTGCATAGGTACACACATGGCAGTGTGTTTTGCTGCCTTTCTCCCCTTCACCCACATTTGGCATTTTGATTGGTTTTAAGTGATTATTACATAAAAACATTTTAACATTTTTAATATACCAACACACAATATGTAAAACATTGTGACGTGAAGGAATTGTTTTCTCAATTCAGGATTCTATTTATTGCAAGAAGCTTACCTCCTGCGTACATAACAGCCAGCATAATGGATGATATCCATGCTATTTCACTGTAGGTAGTATGGAATATTTGCTGAATTTCTTTGAAGAATACGGTGACGGCTTTGGGGAATGCATATGAAAATCCAATGGAGATAAAAGCTGCTCCAACCACAACCCAGCCCCATCCTCCATCTGGAGGTGGATGCAGAGGTGGGGCACTTGACGTTGGTGGCATTTCTGCTCCTCTAATGGAAATTCAAGTAACCTATATTAAAAAAATGAAATAACACTTTAAACTTTATTTCCCCTTTTGCTTACCACTCTTGATCGTGACTAATATAGTATTTTATAGTTCAAACTAAAATATGATTTTTCATGAATATTTTTCATTATAGTTCAAACTAAAATATGATTTTTCATGAATATTTTTCATACTCATACTCAGAAAATATACCAAAAAAATTGATGCAAGTTATAAACCTTTGATTATTGTAGGCTAAATACTGAAATAATTTAATTTGATTATTGAAACAAAAATTACTCAAAATGAAGTTAAGAATTTAGATCTGAACTGAAGTACCATGTTACATTATACATCAGACATATCTCTAAGATAGATCTCATACACATTCTACTTAAGTTACCAGTTGTTTTAACCTCTTTAACTGATACTTAAGATCTCATTTTTCCTTCCTGTTTAAGGCTAGGCCAAGGAATGAAATGATGCTTGCACAGCCTTTTGACGTGATGTACTGGCTTTTTTCATTGCTTTCTATTGTCTACCCTTTTTGATGATTATAGAGAAATTCTAACCCGCTATTTTTTTTTTTGAGATGGAGTCTCGCTCTGTTGCCCAGGCTGGAGTGCAGTGGTGCAATCTCAGCTCACTGCAACTCCACCTCCCAGGTTCAAGTGATCCTGCTGCCTCAGGACCCCTAGGAGCTGGAATTACAGGCAGGTGCCACCATACCCGGCTAATTTTTGTATTTTTGGTACAGACGGGGTTTCACCATGTTGGCCAGGCTGGTCTTGAACTCCTGACCTCAGGTGATCCACCCTCTTTGGCCTTCCAAAATGCTGGGATGCTGAGATTACACATGAAAGCCACCGCACCCAGCCTCCACTATATTTTAAAAATAAGTATCATAGGCTGGGTAAAGTGAGTGGAGCTCAAGGATAAGTTTGAGACCAGCCTGGTCAATACGGTGAAACCCCAACTCTACTAAAAATACAAAAGTTAGCTGGGTGTGGTGGCACACGTTTGTAATACCAGCCCCTTGGGAGGCTGAGGCAGAAGAATCTCTTGAACCTGGGAGGTGGAGGTTGCAGTAAGCCAAGATCGTGCCACTGCACTCCAGCCTGGCAACAGAGCAAAATTCCATCTCTAAATAAATAAATAAAATATATTTAAGTTATAAAACATGATGCTTTGTTATACATATTCATAGCAAAATGATTACTACAGTCAAACTTATTAACATACCCCTTTCCTCATAGAGTTACCACTTTTCTTTTTTGTGCTCAGAACGCCTGAAATCTACACTGTTGGCAAATTTATGGTATACTATATAGTATTACTGACTATACTTATCCTACAAAACCGCAACTTTGAACCCTTTAACAAACATCTCTCTGTTTCTTCACTTCCCCAACCCTGGTAACCAATGTTCTGTTCTCTGCATCTGTGAATTTGACTGTTTTGGATTTCACATATAAACGAGATCAGGAAATATTTGTCTTTCTGTGTCTGGTTTATCTCACTTGGTATAATGTCCTTAGGTTTATCCCTGTTGTCACAAATGGCAGATCTATCTGGCTACCTCTGAATTTGATGAACAACTACATTTTCTTTCTTTTAATTTCTAACATTTTACAGTTACATTATAAAAGAGGGCTCTCCAAACTTTTCTTGTATCCTAACACAGTTATTAATAATTTTGCATATTTCTTTTTATTTTTTTCTATATTCAAAGATTTCTGATTAATTGAAATAATATGGTGATCTTATAAATTAGAGATACAATTGCAAACACTGCTTTTTTCACATTATGTTTTTTAATTAATTGCCTTTTTTACTAATTTTCATCTTTTTGCTATATAATTTTTACAGAGTATGTTAAAAAAAAAAAAAAGGATAAAACAGAATTGCCAAATAAGGCTGGGAGTGACGGCTCACACCTGTAATCTCAACCCTTTGGGAAGCTGAGGCAGGAGGATATCTTGAGTCCAGGATTTCAACACCAAAGCAACATAGTGAGACCCACTGCTTGACAAAAAAAATCTTAAAAATTAGCTGGGTGTGGTGGTGTGTACATGTAGTTCCAGTTACTCCAGAGGCTGAAGGGGAGGACCGTTTGAGCCTAGGAGTTCAAGGCTGCAGTGAGCTCCAATAGAGCCAGTGAACTCCATCCTGGGTGACAAAGAGAGGCCCTATCCCTAAAATTTTTTTTCACTAAAATAAAATAGCTAAATAAGACTTTTAATTGCCACAATAATTTGTATAGAAAATATCTTCTTTTTAATTTTCTTCTTTCTTATAAATATTTAACATGTCTTATTTACATAATTATTCATTAAAAATTAACATTTTTATATATTTACTTGTATCTATTAAATATTTATGGGTACAATGTGAGACTTTGATATCTGCTTATTTTTTAAAAAGCAGTTTCAAATTACTCTTTTATAGGAAGTAGTGGTATAAACCATAAATACACCTACTATTCTATTAGACAATGTAGTGAAAAAAATTTTAGGAATTTTTAAATGGTATGAGAAAGACAAATCCTTTTGATTTTCCCAAGAAAATACAATAAAGTAAAATTTAAAGTTATTCCTGACTAAATACACACAGACAAAATACGGCAGTAAAGTGGCATTAAGTTGATGGAATAGTTTCAAGAGTTTAAATTACTTGTCTTATTGAATTAATGCACGATATTCAAAGTAACCTATAATGTAATATATAGGTATACAAAAATGGATAAGGGGATCTCAATAAATATTGTATATTATGCTAAATAAATGCTTTTATTTTTAGTAAGTATTCAGTTTCATTTCAATAAAAACCTTTAAGGTTTTTTTTCTATTTTTTATATGTGACATATTTCAGAAATATTGAGAAACCTGACCCAAGTAAAATAGTAATGGCAGGAACTGTATTTTACTAATCACAGCTAACTTTACAAGTAATATAAATAGAATTAGAAATAAGACTATTGAGTATAATGTAATTTACGGAGGAAAAAAGCAAAAACACCTCGGCATTTTTATTATCTCCTCTTTGCATATCTATAGTATTTTTATGGATCAAAATGGTCAAAGGTATCCGATTTTCAAAACATGAAGAAAGTAACTTCAAAGATTATTTCCATAGGTATGCATTTGTATGTTAGAAGCCTACTAAAAAAAAAATGTCATGGAAACTATAGTGACAAGGTCAGATGAAAGACTTTAACCACAAACAAATAATGAAAATAATGTAGATCCCGGTCAATCACAATCATTGGGGCAAAGCCGCTTCTATAAGTTAATGTTGTGCAAATGCTAAAATTGCTAAAATCAACCCTAAACACCACATCTCTCAAGAATTATTTTGAGATGGTTTGTATGTCTTCAGTATGTGTACATTCTGCTTTTGTAATCATTTTTGCTTTCTTAGAAACAGAAAAATTATCTGTCTTCTATATATTCATCTATTAAATTGAAGATAGGTATATTTCTCCTTGGTCATCAGTTAACCTAACATGATGTGTTTACAGCACATGTGCATTGGAAATAGTATCTTTGAAGATGTATAATATTTAAGGAAAAAACAAAAGGAAATAAATATTGTAAATATTAATGAAACCAGCTGAAAATAGCAAAAGAACTTTGAAAGTTGGCTAAAGAATCTGAGTCTCTATATTACTATATTTTATTATCATATTTTAAAGTACCTATCTTATTGCTTGAAAATTTACAAAAGAAACCCTGGAAGAATACTGAAGAAATACCAAAGGACATTTATGTGGTAAACTACATTTTGTTGTATAATCAGCATATAAAAACAGTTATGAGGCTTAAAGTCCTCACTCTGCAGTTTTCCTGCTTGCATAAAGGAAACTAAACCCTCTTTTATTACTAATTCATGAGTTTAAACTATTGTCATTTTTATCACATCTGCTATAGTAAACATTGAGAAATACAACTGGATGATTTATTTTTCATTTACTTCGAAGATCATAAATAACATTTCCAAGTAATCTTAAACCCATATTTTAGAATAATGATATCAATACAAATATTGTAATTTATTAATATTCAAATCATGTTCTAAATATGGATACTGAAACTTATTAATGACATTGGGATTTCCATTTTACAGACAGGAAACTATGCCCATAGGAAAGCAAAGAGGTGTGTTAGGCTCATACAGTAAATAGATGTCAACACTGGTATAAATTTTATGAATTAGAATTTTCTCAGCATTTAAATATGCTCCAACTTAATAAAAACATCACTCTTACATTAAAATAATTTGAACTTATATGCCCATTAAAAGAATTCAACATGGTTTGCTCCATGTATGGGAGCAAACCATGTTGAATTTTATATATATATGTATTTATAAATTGTATTTTCTAAAATTCTAGTTTATTATGAAACTGTACATTTAAGCCTCATTTTCCTTTACATGGCTTCATCTTGTGGCATGAAAATTAAGCATAAGAGCTTCAAAGGTGTGGAATATTGGCTGTCATTTACTCTTTAACACTTAGTAAGTAATAAAACTGAGTGTGGTTTCGTCTGTAAAAACAGGATAATACCTATATTTACTTTATAAGGTAATTAAGAGCATTGACAGATGACTATATGTAAATAGCATGATTAATATGTACTAGACAAATTTACCTATCATTATCCTAATTTTTCTTAAAATTATATATAAAATAAAGATTGAAGATGGGATCTTAAAATTACATTTTTAAAGAGAAAAAACATATATGTGGCTTTCCAAATTCCATGTCATATAATATATTTAACGTAGAAGCTGTAACTTTAAAAAGCCACTTTTTTTTAAGGAAAACAATGCAGGCAGAGATCTAATAACCTTTGCAGGGTCGCATAATTAATTAGAGAGCAGAAGCCAATCTCCAACCCAGGGCTCTTCTGACTATTGCTGAAACATACTGGACCGCATCTTCATCTTGAATTCATTTTCAGTGGTTGAGCTTTTTAACCATTGCCTTTAAATTTGATGATGCAGAGTCTTCCTTTCTACCT